CGCCCGCACGCACGCACACACGCACGCACGCACGCACGCACGCACGCACGCACGCACGCACGCACGCACGCACGCACGCACGCACGCACGCACGCATGCAGACACACAGACACACAGACACACAGACACACAGACACACAGACACACAGACACACAGACACACAGACACACAGACACACAGACACACAGACACACAGACACACAAGCACACAAACACACAAACACACACACACACACACGTGTATATGTTTCTTTGCATGTATTCTGGCATGTATACTCAAACATGAGTAAGGGGTTCTACGGAAGTTTTTGGTGTCACTATAACGGGTTTCGGGGTGTGAAATAAGAGGTCTGAGCAATTGGGTTTAATACCCACATATACTCCCTGTGTGATTAGACGAATATCACCCTTCCGAAAAGGAAAGCTACTCACTAATGCCTCGATATTAGAGTCTTGATTTGAGGCGACAGCTGTTAGGGATCCGCAAGCCCTCACCCCAAGACCCTACACCCGAAGCCCCTAAAGCTGCCAAACACCCTTAACTTGCAACCACCCTCGAACCTAAACTCTTGTGGAAACATAGGAAAGCCTGAACCCCCCCTGGAACCGGAACAGTAATTGTTACGACTCTTCGGCTTTTGCAACTTTGATGGGGAGTGGAACGCCCAACTTTACTCATTTTAGGCCTTTGGGAGTTGAGTGTAACGTTGAGCGATTTTTAAACCCTATTGCGGCCTTTCAAGAAATGACTCGTTCTTAGCCCTCCTGGATTTCCACGGAACATTGTGTAGGTGCTGTCGGCAATTGCAAGGTCTTTCATCATAGCCTGGCCAGACTGGGAAATAGTTGAACCAAATTTGCAAATCTTCGTGTTGTCATCAGAACCAAAAGCACAAAAACCCCTTCGTAGCCGGTCGAACATTGAGCAAGTTTAACACATCCGAGCCCTTTTCATTTGCGAGATTTCGGCAATCTTGGTCGTTCGGGAATTGAACCCTAAACCCTGAACGCTAAACCCCCAAACCCTAAATTGACAAAAAGGTGGAGCGACTTTTTGGCTCAACTTTGCCTTTCGGCCATGGCAGGCTTCTTAAAGTCGAAAGCCCCGGTGAGGGTTTCGGGTTTCGGTCCCCGGCTGCAGGGTTTCGGCCTGAAAGTTTGGGCGTCAGGGCGCAGTGTCTCGGCCAATTTCCATTTTTTGGACGTTCGGGTGGACGAAAATGGCGAAATGTTCAGAGTTTCAGCTGGTTCTGGTTCCAGAAGTTCAAGGTTTTGCAAGGTTTCCGCCCTCAGCGTTTAAGGTTTCGGCCCCAGTTCTTGGCTTTCCGAAAGACTTCGTGAAATCCAATGGGACAAGCGTTATTTTTGGTGATGCCGGGTGCCGATGTCGAGGTGCCACCCTTTCGGCTTCGTGCATCAAGCTCTGGGTCCCAAAGTTTCAGAGTTTCAGCCTCAGGGTTTCGGCCCCAGCGTTCAGGAACTTTTTTTTTCTCGGCTCCTGTGTTCGAGAGTTCAAGCTTTCGGCCCGAACGCTTCGTCAGGGTTTTCGGTGAAACCTTGAACCGGCCTTTTTGGCCGCCGACGACGGGGAGATCGTGAGAAAAAAGCCCGCCCCCAAGCCCACCGAGTCGAAACGCACGAAGCACTCGATCAGGGTTTTTTGACGCATGACTTCCACCGCCGCACGCAATTCAACGGCAAACCTTAAACCCCAAACCCCAAGCCCCGAACCCTAAACCCCAAACCCTAAACCCGGAACCCTGAACCCTAAACCCCAAACCCAAAGCCCTAAATTCCCAAACGAACCCCACTACCTTCGAAGGAAGGCCAACTGGGTCCAGGCTGGCAGACCTGGCGGCTTCTGTCAGGTCCGAGAGGGTGTCGAAAAAAACGTACGGTTATAAGAGTTATAAGGAGTGTGTTTTTAGAGGGGGGGGTGTAAAATTTGTCGTTGTTTCGGGTTTATGATTTAGGATATAAGGTTGAGGGTTCGGGATTTTCCACACGTGATTCTGGCCTCAGTAGTGGTAATAGAAGCTGCTGCAGCCGCAGCAGTACCGGTAGCAGCCCCTAGCCGCCCTAACCGTGGATGCCCCAACTCCGCCAACATTTCGCAAGGCACAACCTGACGCCCTAACTTCTGACCTAAGCCCTAAGCCCTAAACCCTAAACCCCATTTTCCCGGCGCGTAGAACCCCTTCCAAAAAAAAAAGGAAAACAGTGCCCAGGTGGGTGTCTGGAGCCTCTCCAGGCATCCGAACTACTTTGGTGAAATTTTTCAGTGGTGGTGCGCCTTTGCGCTGGCATACAACAGCTCAGAAGCTGCCTCTGGCTACATGGATCCTCTCTGGTGGGCTTGCATCCTGTCCCCGTTGTTCACGATGCACATACTCTTGAATATTGGTGCAACTGGTATCTCCAATGCGGAGGGTAAGAATCTCAAGCGCTACTACGAGAAGTGCCCCGATCCTCTCCCGGATCTTAGCACCACGTTCTTTGTTGTTCGATTCTGCGGGGTTTCGGGTTTAGGGTTTGGGGGTTTCGGGTTTAGGTGGTTTAAGAGTTCGGTTAAGAGCTAAACAGCTAAAGCCACGCCCTGTGTCCCAAGGAAGAGTATGCGGAGTATCGGAAGAACACCTCCATTCTCATTCCGATGGTGGGCTACAGACACATTCCGCTGAGCGTGAAGAGGCCGAATCCGGAATTGCTTCGCATGTCAGGTATCCTAGACTTTTTCCTCGCTTCACACTGGGGTTTAGGGCTTTAAGTTTAGGAATTAGGGTGTCGGGGGTAGATTAGATAATGCAGATGCGAAGGCGATTCTTACGTCGTCCGTGCGAGTACTTAGACTTGGCACCTTGAATACGGCATGATGCATATTACAATGCCAACTTGATGCTACACGATGTCTGATGCATGGTTATGCAGTTTAACAAGAGCAGGCATCTTGACCTGCTGCTACATCAGGTCAACACGCATGCTACGCATTCTAGTTGACTTGTGTGCTGCTCTTGCAACCTGTGGGCCTGTAGTTGCTTTCAATGTCGCATGGATGTCCTTCCTGGTAGTGCGGGAATCAGATAATAAAAAACCCCGTGTTCTTCATTGGATTGTTACAATCGGGATCCGGTTACACAGGGAATTGGAGGGAGAGAGAGAGAGAGACGAGCTTCTGAGCCTGAAGCCGCTATGTATGTTGCACTGGTTCTGGTGCAGTGCTGCATAGCTACACGAAGGGCACTGAGTGGACTTTGTGGAACTGTTTGCTCTGGTTGCAATGCTACAGCATATCATGACTGGTGTCGAATCCTGCGTGATTCCTTCTGTGTTGCGCAATATGACATGATCAGTTGTATAGTGTTGAGAACTGGCTTCAATGCTAAACTCTAGGCCTTCCCCTTGCATGCCCACAGGGCGCTGCTTTTCGAGTTCGAGCGCTATGAGTATCGCCCTGGAGGAGGGTCTGAGGTCAAGAAAGACTGACACATTGGCAGAGCGTAGTCGGGTCCCTGTCATGGAACTTAGCTGAAGCTACCATTCTAAGGACGCCATACTCTTTACACATTATGAGCCAAAGATCCCTACTGCAGAACCAGAAACCCTTGCTATGGTATCTTAAGCTTACCAAGTTACCATAATAAGGAAGCCATATGGTTTACAATAACAAGACCCCTATGAGTTATGGTATCTTAAGCTAAGTTCCCTAACAAGGACTCGGAGTCGGCTAGAGTCTTCGGCCGCAGTGGCTCGCATTTTCTTTTGCCAGGAGGCTCGCCACTGCAAACACAGATCTTGACGAGCAGTGGCAGCAGTGATGGCGACTAATTTCGGGGCCTGAACAATTAGAATCGGGCTTGGGGGTGTACTACAGTAGAATTCGGGATCATAAGGAGGGAATTCTCGTTACTTCTTCAGACCCCTACGTTGATTTCAAGGGTCGGCTGGCCATTGGTGAAGTAACACGCTTTCACCTTAGGAGGTGCATGTGGAAATAGGCGCCATCCTATTCCTGGTGCGGGCCCAGAGCTTGCCCGTGTCAATGGACATGTGAAGCTTAATATAGGGGCCTAAATAACTACCTATACTATACTATTTTGGGGTTCCTTTTTATAACTATAGTATATTAGTCCCCAAAAACCCTCTTCTACTTATTAAGGCCCCTAGATTAATGATTTTCGCAGGCCGAAGGCCCCCTCAACCTGTTTCGTATTCGGAGCACAGCACGGGTTGAAAAGAGCTTCTAGCGCCGGAGAGTCGCAACAAAAGCGACTGTCATGCAGCTATGATGATCTGCTAGTTCAAGCAGCTATCTGCCCCACAGCCACCCTGGACCAGAAGAGGGGTGTGAATAGAGATGAGAATCTCAAAAGGTCAAGACGGAGAGCAATTCGGTTTACGGCAGCATTGCGATACTGAACACTTTCTTTGGCGGCTTGCCGGAAGCACGGGGGCGGGACCAAAGATGAACAAGCCTAAACCCTAAACCCTATGTCCAGCAAGTGGGTTCTAGCCAGCCTTTGCTGGGCGCTGGAACGTACGCTCAAAAAACACAACCCTTTAGCTTCCAAGCATCCCTCGGCAGCCCTATCTTCGAGGCTCAGAGAATCCTGGGCCCCCCCGATGGAACCCTAAACCCTGAACCCTCTAATGCACGAAAATGCTACGATAATGTACGAGGATGTACGATAATATACTATCATATATGATTCTATGATGCATTACTAAATCTCTCCAAACCCTAATCCCCCAAACCATCAATCGATCGCTGAAACTACTAATCAGCCGTTCCCATGCGTCATAAATTGCCTCACACTTTTTGAGTTCCGATGCTGTGGAGGCCTAAATCGCTTCAACGGGGTTTGGCCCAAGTTTTGTGCGAACATCGTGCACGCAAGAGATGTGAGTAACATGTTGAGACCACTTTTTGAGGCAACGATCCTGCTTTCTGATCCTTGGGCCAGCCAGGGCACATGTCTGTGCAGCATCTCAAAAGGACGAACGTACTCGGGGATGTAACCCCTAAGCCACAGACGCCAAAATCTGAACCGAACCCTGCGAAGGATCCCGAGGCTTGAAAGCCACAATGTCGTCGCGTCACGTGCCCCTCAAGTTTACTTCCGGAACCCCCAAGGACTAAGCCCACCTAAACCCTAAACCCACCCAGCCCTAAATCCTCCTAAACCCCAAACCGGATGCACCCACTGAAATGGGCGTTCTGCTCGCCTTCAGTGTTTCGGGCAGAGTTTCGCTCGTTCCCGGCTTTGGGTTGCCGTAATATAGGGGGCTGAATAATTTAGCAATGCTACTGCTTGGGGCCACTAATGAGCATATATATATATACATACGTACATACATACATACATACATACATACATATGTGTATGTATATATATACATATGTCTCAATGTCGACCTAACCCATCCATCCATCCCTCCATCCATCCTGCCATCCATCCTGCCTGCCATCCATCCATCCATCCATCCATCCATCGATCGATCTATCTATCTATCTATCTATCTCTCTGTGTGTGTGTGTATATATATATATCAATTGCAAGGATGCCCTGAAACCATAAGGCAGCTTCAAGGCCCGAGGCCCCTATGTCATTGGCAGGGATCTCCCGAATAACATGAACAGTACATATATAGATATGTACGTATATACATATGTACATATATACATATATACATATATACATTTAGAGTAGTATATATGTATCTACATACACATGGAAGGGAGAAGACTAGCATTGCAGCGTGGTAAAAGCACGGTCTCTCGGTCATGCCGTTGCGGAGCCTTCCCCGGAAGGTCCATGGATGCAGGATCGCTAGGCATCTCGGTCCATGGTGAGCATGACATGTCTTGCATTATACCCGGGTACTGGTCGCAGAATGTTGCGTGTTTTGCTTGCCGAGTTTGGCGGAGTAGTCTGCACGAACAAGAGGAGGGGCCACAACACGAGCACGACTTGGAAGCATCATGAAGACAAGAAGCGGTTGAGGATTCAGGATCAAGCAACAGATTCAGTGACGATGCAAGCATCATACACTGAGCCGAGTTGCACAGTTCCGTGTACTGAAGACCCAAATGAAAACTACCGGCCCTAACTCGAGAACCCAAGCCCCTAGACTCGCCATGAACAGCCGAAAGCCTAAACCGCAGGCCCACAATCCGAAACCTCACAAGCCCCAAACCCTATAGACCCCTAAACCCTAAACCCTAAACCCTAAACCCTAAACCCTAAACCCCTTAAACCGTGGCTTCGTAGAAGCCCAGGGTCGGCCATGGCTCGACCCATAGGCTGGGTCTCTGTGCTAGCCGTCGCCGCCCTCTGTTCCGCCGCAGGCGGGATGTGTTCTGTTTGGGGACACGGTGAAGGCTTTACGGGTTTAGGCTAAACAGTTTAGGGCTTCGGGTTGAAGGTTAAGGCTTCCAGGGTTTTGAGGCCTGCGTGTGGGGTTTAGGATGCAGAGCTTCGGGTTTAGGGCTTTGGGTTTAAGGTTGCCTGGATGAAGCCCGAAATTTCGCTGTCCGTCGGGGACCCAATCTTGGTTCTGCTATCATGCGTCGACTCGCTCAATCTCTTGGGGCCCGATGCCCATCCACAACGGGAGGCCTAAGTAGGCTTTCATGATCTTTCCTGCTTGTACATCTCACGCTGGCGAGGGTTTAGGGTTTAGGGGTAAGGGTGTGCCAAACCAAAGCGCGCTTTTGTGGGCGCGCGTCGGCCTGCAGGCTTACCCACCCCAAGGCCACCCATTACAAATCTCAGGGCATAAGGCCTTATATTTTTCATCGCACAAGTAAGGCGAGAATACATGCACGACTGAAGGAGTGCGTTTTCGGCGCCGAATCTTCGCAATTTTGTTACTGAAGTTTTCCGTGAAGGCTGCATTGTGGCGAAGCCTGGCCAGGCCAGCTAGGATTTCGGGGCCGTACCAGGGAACAGGAGGTTGCGGCCTGTGTCGAGCCCCAGCACCGGAAAGTTGCGGCAGCAAAAGCGGCCAGGGCAGTACAACCGGCCCGGAGCCGCGGAACTCTGGAATTGGGCAGCCTGGGGGCCCAGACCTTGCTGGGGGTGGGAAAGGAACCAGCAAAAAGCAGCTTCGGCCTGCGTTGTGCGTTTCAGAAAATCCTGGCGCAGCGCCCACCTACACCAAAAAGACGAGTGGGGAGCGGGTTTAGGGACAGTCTCCGCAGCTTTGTAGCCGAATCCGATGCCGCACGCCTGTGAGGCTCCCGGCCAGAAGTAAGGGGAGAGGGATGCGTGGCGTAGCAGTTGGAGCAGCAGACAGAAGCTGACGAAGAAGGGAAGTAGGACAATTTGGAGAAAAGGAAGAGAGAGTAAGAGAGTAAGAGACATTAGGAGAGAGAGAGAGAGAGAGAGTCTTTCAAAGCAGTGCTGTACGTGTAGTCTCGGGGGGATCCCAATACATTCATTCATTCATTTATTTACATTGTTTGTCTGCACAATGATCTCCCGGGGGAAAAACACGTTAACCTTGTTCTCACGCCTCCTCCAAGCCCCATAACAAAGTGGGGGGCCCTAGTGGCCGGGGGGCTGAAACCGCCTCCCATGCCCTGGCGAAGAAGAGAAAGAATCCCAGCTCGAGTCGGAATGATAGTATCAGCCGGAGGACTGGCTTTCCCCTCTTAGGGTTGTGTGCTCTTTGTTTGCATGTTCCAGTTTCTGGAATCAGCCCTGAATCGACTTACCTGTCCGGGAATGAGCTTTGGTGTGCCAGCATTCCTGTACGCACCCTTCAGCCCTGCATCCGAAAAGTGGGGGTATGGTGATGGCGAGAGTTGCAGACACATCTCATCGCTGATGAGCAGTTCATCACTCTTTTGCACCTGTTGCTGTCGTTGGCTCTTTTGGGGGTGCTGCGCCGCTGCTGCCGCTGCTGCTGCTGCTGCGGCTGACGCTGGTGCTGCGGCTGACACTGGTGCAGATGGTGGTCTCCTCCGAATTTTGGTGCCCATGCTCCGCACTTCCCTTGGACCTAGACCCCCCGCGACCCTGATGAGCCCAAACCGTAAAGAACCCAAAACCCCAAGCCCGAAACTTTAAAAGCTCCGATCAGCCTTAAACCCGCCGGCAGCCCCACCCTAACTCCGACCCTAATCCTGAGCCCTCAAACCCTGGCCCTAACCCTGAACCCTAAACCCAGCTGCATAGGTCGGGCCTGGATTGCAGGCGGCTGGTCGCCGGGCCGCCAGTGCGACGGCAGTTCCCATGTAGCTTGTCCTTCAAACTGTAAAGCAGCTGCGATGAGGGGGGGTGTTAGGGTTTCGGGTTTAGGGTGGGTTAATTATTAAGGATTACTGATTACTGTATCGCGACGATGATGACGGTGGACGTGCTGATGGTCGTCATGGTTTTCGTTGTGATCGCGACCGAGAGCATCGTCGCCTTCATGGTGGTTGAAAGACAGATACGAGTATGAGTGACGCTGTTCTTCGTTTCTGTCTCAGCGTTGCGAAGTCCCAGCTTTGGGATTCCGAGACACCCAAAACTGTGGTTGCTGAGCGTCTGTGAGAGAACATGGCCGGGCTCGCGCAGTCCCCTGCATCGTTGAGGCACGGTACAGGGGCCTGCGGCCATTTTGAAGGTATCAGGGCTGACCGCTCAACTGTGGCTGCAAACATACGTGACCCATAGCCCCAGTCAGAGAGCATACTCAGGAGCATCAAATACTCCACAAGCCTCAGACCCTAAAATCCAACGGAAAAGCCGTAAATGCCAAACCTGACAACCCTTGCTCTGCAACCCAAAACCACAAGCAGTAGTTTGTGGTACACCCTAAACCCTCAACTCCAAAATGAAGACCCTGAACTCTAAAGGATAACTTGTATAATCAAAGTTTAGAAGCAACCCCAGATATCGTTTTTTTAGCCCGAAAAAATCGTTTAGGGTCTAGGGTTTAGGGGTAAGGCACCCCCAAAAGCCACAAATCCTAAGCATAAGTTGATGAGAAACCTTACGCGCTCCTTCGAACCTCCCTTACAAACGCCCTACACCCTTGAGCAACGCTTCGAAATCCAAAACCCTCAGCCATTTTGGGGGGGTTAATAATTGGAACCTGGTTTGAGGGGCGTTTTGTGCTATAGTTGCACTACAATAGTAGCGCTGCAAATCCATCCTAAGCCCGTCGCGCCCTCAAACCCTACACCCTAAACCACTAAACTAGTGAACCCCAAAGCCTAAACCCTAAAACCTTAAACACCCTAGGCCCCCAAACCCCTGACCTCCTAACCCCCTAAACCCTGAACCCGTAAACCCGTAAACCCTGAACCCCCAAAGCCCGAACCCCTAGACTCCTGAACCCCTAGACTCCTGAACCGTAATATAGAGGCCTTTTTAGGGTTTAGGGTTTAGGGTTTATTTGTTTTTTTTTGGGGGGGGGTTCCTTATCATAATTAATCATAGCTTTACATACTATTTTGGAGGGTTCCTTCTTCTAATTATAGTTATATTATGCTCCAAAGCCCTATTCTAATTATTAGGGCCCCTACACCCTAAACC